GTACAAAGGCCCAAACTTTCCAGTGCGGTGTGTCTTGGTGTTTTGAAGCAAACCATCTGGCATACTTTACCACAAGATCGGAGAGTCAAAGTCAGCGCATTCAGCCCTTTGCAGGGTCCCGTCAGGTCATGTTTGTTGGCTTGTAGTTACTGCCCATAACCTCCCTAAACCAGTCCTAATGCCTCAAAAAGTCTAAACCAAGCCGACGCTGACGCCACCCCTCCTTTCTTCGTTGGTGTGTTTTGCCATGTCCTTCAAGCCATAAGCTCGAAACTCCACAGCCCTTAAACCAGCTGGGATGGAACCTGCCGTGCCTGCGTGAGCGAGTGCGTGAGTCGAAACCCTAAACCCCCTAAGCCCGATAAGCCCCTAAACCCCCTTTTGGCGCGCAGCCCCTAAACCAGGAACAGGTCCTTTCGGGTCTGGTCTTTGCAGCGACTTCTCGCTGCCCCATTGCCACCACCATGGTCCTCAGGGAAAGGCCGGCAGTTCACGGTCTATACGGGGGTTGCTACAAGGGTTACTGCAAGTCAAGTATATGGCTTACTAGAAGGGATATCTTTCAAGGCTTTGAAGCTGCAAGGGCTACTTCCTTTCAGCGGAACCCTTCCGAGGGGTTTGGGGTCTTGGTTCGGCTTTGATAGTCTAGGAATGGAAATCCAAAGTTCTATGTTTCTTTTGCAGGGGGATTGAGCGTACTGCAACTGCTGGTTTTTGTACCAGTATTGCGATTATTACTGAAATGGTTCGAAGCCATGCTAGTCTTGCTAAACTCCTACTTATCATTGTCAGTACTAAGCCCTCGAACCCTCTCGCATCTTGCGCTGGTTTAATATAGGAGGCTTAATATAATTAGAATGGGTTTGGGGGGCCCATTATTCTATACTTATCCCCTCAAATTCCTCAAATAGTATTGGTAATTATCGAGGCCCCTAAATTCGCCGCGAGATCCTGCAGGACCCCTACCCGGCCGAGGGCAAGCCGGGCTGCCCCTCTGAGGACATGCGGGAGCTTTGGAGCGTTCTAGGGTCCATTTCAGGGTTTAGGGTTGAGGCTTAAGGGTTTGTTGTTGTCTCAACGCTCCCCTGATGATAAACACGCGGGTTTTAGTTTCGGTTTTGATGCCTTGCTTTAATCGGAAATTCGAAGCCATCCCCTGATGATTGCACGGTATCATACACCCCCGCAAACCCTTGCCCAATTATGATTATGACGGCCCCTTTGATCACGGACCCCAACTGTTGGCTATGGTTTTGTTGTTTGGGTGTGCTTCGATATTGGTAGGGATTCGTAAAATTACGGGCGTACCTTACCCAGGTATCCTTGTAGCCTTGTAGTACGGATCCTGCCGTTGACCTCGAGATGAGTTCGTGTTCGAGTCCATTATTTGCCAAGAATTCCTGACTGGGTCTCCGTGCCGGGATGATGGATGCTGCATGTACTGCAGGAGTCGCCCGCCGGACCTACGCAGTGCGACGCCACGGCAAAAGCCCCTCACAACGACTTCAAAGAGGACAGTAAGTTAGGGTCTTATTTTTGCCAGGCTACAGGTTGTGGATTAGCGTTCTTTGTGCTGTTGCCGATTTCTGGAACTGAACTGATGTTCCTCTGCACAGCATCTGCTCGCTTGGACTGTCTTCGGGCCCGAGCCACTGTATGACACATCGAGCGGCGACGATGCAAGCGGCGCGGCAGGTGTGAACCGCATAAAAAGCTGACTAAGATTTCTGGGAAGACCTGTACACTTGCCCTGTCCGACGAAGCTGGGTACCAGAAGCGGAAGAGTGCACCAGGCGCACTGTCACGGTTATTCTGGGCGCAACATGCCTGCTTGACTGTCTTCACGACAACTCGCATCTTTCCCAGCACGGAACCATGGCATGGGAGCAAGTTCCGATCCATGCAATGATGTGCATCTGATTCAACTCTGACTGGCCAACCCTGGCACATGAGACAGCCGTAGCAGGCGTGGCGGTTTGCAAGTTTCGGTTGTGTCTCTGTGTTTCTCGCAGTTTGGGCAGCCTTGGCACCCCAAAGCGAGCATCACGCGCAAAGCCAACACCTGGAGTTCAACTGCTTTCCTGAACTCGAACGTGTCGGCCCGTTTGGGGGGCATGCAGTCCAAGTGGCATCAAATGGCTGAAGTTATTCAAAACGACTGCGCCGCTCAGATGTACAAGACGTCATGCGCACAGGATTTGCATGCCTGGGTGTTGCTTTGGCCCAGTCAGTTGCAGCAGAGCCCCATAGGTTCTTGAAGTTTTAAGGGTAAAGGACGCTTTCAGACTTGTTGTCTTTTTGTTGAAGCGCTTACCAGTCCAGCCCTAAGTCTGTTCACTGCTGGTACTTTCTTCCAACTTTTTGCAAAATTCGCATCTTGGTGACAGCTGCTGAGCCATTCCGGCCCGTTCCTTATCAATCAGAAGTCATTGTTTACGCCTTTGCCCAGCCTTCACTCGCATGGGTCTCTGGCGCATCTCCTAAACTTCCTACACACATTTGCCCCTTATGCGACACACCGCAGTGGCAAGAAGGGAGTGCCTGCTGTACGGCCCAACCAGCCAAGCGTCTCAACTCGCTGAGCATTCCCTGGCCTGGACAAAACTTTTGGGAAGGATGAAAGCTTCGCTTCATAGAAGGAGCCGGAAGGCGGAGGAGCAGGACGATAGGAGGAGCGATGAAGACACGCAATAACATCTACCTAACCTGCTAAAATCCATGTTAGGGTTTACAACAAGACCCAACCAAAAAAAAGGTAGGCTTTGGTAGTTTAATAAGGTATAGAAACACAAAAGGCAGAACATGGGAATGACATTCGGGGCCGGTACTGTGATGCATGCGACGACCCGACAACTTGTGCAGAAGTTGAGGTCCTGGCTTTGCTGTCAGCTTGCAAATACATCATTTCAGTACAAGATCTGACGTTGTACCATATATGTTGCGGCCCTGACTATCTCAAGCGCAGGACAAGTACTACTACAAGGGCAAGACGCAGACAGCATCTGGCGAGAAGGCCAACTGCACCAATAGACTTTCGAAGGCGATGCTGCAAGCATGTGGAAGTGTACAGCCCTATGTCAGACAGAAAGCCAGATACCCTAAACCCCTAAACCCCGAACCCTAAACCCCTAAACCCTGCCATGCCAGCCTTGCGCGAGTGTGTGAGTCGAAACCCCAAACCTATAGTTCCTAGCCCCCCCTCGCCTGGGTGTCTAAGACTCTAAGAGCCGAAGCCAACAAACTCTGAGCCCTCACAAGAAAAACAAGCAGCAGAAAACAAAGCAAAAGCAACGCCGCAAGGCCATCCAGCAGATGATCATGGCCGGTGGACCAGTGGAGACCGCTTTCACTGTGCCAGACATACAGGGCTTTCGCCAAAGTCTTCCATCAACTCTTCCCATGTCTTCCCTGAAAGTGTCGACAGTTTTAAGAAACGACCTGGTGCAATTCAGGTGTTCTCAGACTTCGAGCTTTACACCTCCGGGCATCTCTGCTAGAGTGAGGTTAGTTACTGGGGCAGACGAATGTGGGATTCACTGGCGATCGCTCCTGCAAACACTAAACTTAAACAGCTGCACATGAGGATCTACCACCACGTGAGTGGTTCGATGGCAGGCGGACATGCTGTGCGAATGGCGCCTCGACCTGCAACAAGCAGCACATTTGTCTTTGTTTTGGTACCTGGGTTTCTGGCTCTTGTCAACTCCAACGCTTCAAAGCAGTGCAGCAGGTTGGCTGGGGCGTCGATGGCGGTGTGAAGTATTGGAAGGTGCTGAGCCGTTTAGGGTTTAGGGGCTCAGGGGTTTAGGGGTTAGGCTTTTAGGGGTTTAGCGGTTTAGGGTTTATGGATGAGAGTGAAGTCATGCTCAAACCGATTCATGCAAAATCCAGCTGCGGGGACTGCCTTGTGTCCGCACGAGCATAGGGAGCACATGGAGCACCAACTTCGATTCGGCGAAGTTTGAGCATGTGAAAAAGCATCAGCGACAAACATGTGCCGCAACTCAGAAATGGTTGTTAAGCTCCCGGTGCTGCAGGTTGCAAACTCCTGGAACCCGTACTGGGGTGAGAAGGGCTTCTTCCGCATCAGGCGTGGTGGCAGCAAGTACTTTCTGTGCCGCTTCAGCAGTCGTGTTGTTCCCAGCCGAGGCGCGGAACTAACGAGGGTGGCATCGAGGATGATGTTGTTGGCTCTTCCAGCGATGTGTCCTGGACGGAGAAGCGGACCTTCGAACAAAACCAGGGACCCTAAGGCCTGAAAGGCAGACCCTACACACAACAGAATCCTTATCGCAAGAACCGGTATAACTTTTTTCTCTACAAAGCATCCCTTCTTTTTAAGAGGGTGATGCACTCCCAGGCGCAGTGGGGGCGCGGATCGGGTGCCGCGATTGTCGTTTGAGGCCCCACGAAGGCAGGCAGCAGGCACGTCTTGAAAGTCTTAACGCCTGTAGAAGTCGAAACCCTCCCGGCAGGCTGCCTCGTGCTTCCAGGACTACCTGACGAGCGAGTGGGGTTGGTGATTGGCTGCCCCACCGAGAACTGTAGTGGTGATTCTCAGCACGCAGACCACGAAGTCGATAAGATGATGCTGAAATCCTGAATCCGAATGCTTGCATTGGGGACAGATTTAGCCGTTGAGTCGTTGTTGACCTGGAGTGGTCGTGAGACGAATCACTGCAATAACCTATCTTTGTGCAGCTGGCATGTTGGCGTTTCAAGGAGTGCCTTCAGTTGCTAGGGCACGGATCGACAGCTTGCAGAAGATCCTGGAAAAAAAACAGTGCACCACCATGCGAAGTTCAGCTGTCATGCCACACTTCTTACGGCTGCTGCAGCCCTATGGGAGCAGCCCAGGCTCCGCGAGCACGGCTTTGCCATCCAATGCGCCTCTCGGGTTGCATTGTAGAACACCCCCCTCCCCCGCATTTTGGTACCCTATACTATATTGCTTCGGGGTTTATCGCAGGATACCAATAAGAGATTCTTCCCATGCCCTTGGCATGGATCAGGTCGACGAGCAGCAGCTCAACCTCTGCACAAAGCCGGAGACCAAATCGGTTTTGGGGCTTTAGAGGTTTAGGGTTTAGGCTTATAGGGTTGACCAGCCTGACATGGTTTCGAGCTGCGACAGCACGTGGATCAGCTTTGCGTGCTTGTAAGATCATGGCATCACAGGAAAAATCAGAATGAAGCAGGCTGTAGCCATCCTTTTCGGAACAACGGTAGTTGCACCCTCGGTTCAACTCGCGAAGCTTGCTTGTGAAGCCATCTGAAGCATGAATGCTTAATCAGAAGGATACGGAAATCAAGCCAAAGCTCGATATTATATTACAAACCCTAAACCCAGGGAAAAAAACCGGTCGAATGCATTTGCAGGTTGCAGAACTACACGAAGAGTCGTCGCTTATGTGCGCTCCCCAGTTTGCCCCGAGAAATCAGAAGTTTGCTTTCGGACCTGCGTCGGTTTTCCATGAAAGACTGGAGGCTTAGGGTTTAGGGTTTAGGGTGCTTTCTTTCTAAACTCTATCAGCCGAACCCCAAATCCTGAAGCAGACCATGCACATCATGAAGGCCAATGTGCAGTCGGCCGTGCATGTCCAGCATTCTGTTTCGGCAGCAGCGTCCTCGCCTCAGAGCGGCGTTCCCTGAAACGCGGAGTTCGTAGCTTTGGGTGTTCTTGACTCAAAGATCCCATATTACTTGGTGGCCTCATGCGGGCTCTCTTCCCCGCTCTTTCTCTCTAGATAATCAATAATTTTTGTTACATATATATATATATATAAATATAGAGATATGTGTATGTATACGTGTGTGTGTGTGTAATTGCATACAGTATGTGCAATATGCATATCTGTTTGAGTAGATAGATGAGCCGCTGTCTCTTCTACTCTTCTCCGGCTTGACACCTCCCAGAAGATGCCCTCCTAAACCCCTAAACCCGAAACCCTAAAAAAACCCTAAACCCCTAAACCCTAAACCCTAAACCCCTAAACCGCTAAATCCTAATCCCCTAAACCCATGCGAGAGGGAAAAAAATCCCCTAAGCCCCTAAACCCTAATCCTCTAAGCCCATGCGAGAGGGAAAAAAATTCCCCTAACCCCCTAAACCCCTAAACCCTAATCCCCTAAACCCATGCGAGAGGGCCTAAACCCCTAAACCCTAAACCTCTCCGCTCTGCCGATTCCTGGCCTCCCTCCCTGCCGAGGCCACGCCCCGCAGGTCGGCGGCCAGTCGGGGCCTTAGTGCGACTGCCGGCTTGAGGGGTATGGGGGCTTAGGGGTTTAGGGGTTTAGGGCTTAGGGGTCTAGGGTTTAGGGTTTAGGGCTTAGGGGTCTAGGGTTTAGGGGTTTAGGGTGTAGTTTAGGGTTTAGGTTTGGGATTTGGGACCCTGAGAGTTTTGGGGTGTTCTGGGTGGTTTTTAGGGGGTTTAGTTTCGAGGGTTTGGAGTTTGGGAGTTTAGGGTTTATGAGGTTTTGGGGGTTAAGGATTTAGTATTTAGGGGTTTGGGAGTTTTGGGTCTATGGGGGTTTTAATATTTAGGGTTGGGTTTTCAAGGAGGTCTAGTATGTCGGGTTTGGGGTTTCTGGGGGTGTTAGTACTTTGTGTTGCCTCCTGCATTGCTGAGCCGGGTTTAGCAGGCAGGGTTTGGAGTGAAAAGGCCTAGACCTTCAGGGGATTGCACAAATCCCGATGCAAAAACATGGGCTTATAGTGCTTCACGCTTGGAGGATGAGGGCTTCGGGAACCTATTTGTATGGTTATGGGATACTGAGGTCCCAAACAGTGGGCTCTATACTCTACCAGTAGGACCTAGTGCCCAGGCTGGTAACCTCCAGTCGTCGCCCAGGATGGAGATTTGCTTGCTTTGGGCTTTGCTTCGTCACACTTGGGCTTACGTTGACATACTTTGTGGTGGAGAGTCTTTTCTGTTCAAGTGAGTGGACAAAGGCTCTGACACAGGCAGGTCATGGCAGGTATCGGAAAGGGCCCTGCCTGCCCGTCATGCCAGGAGCGCAGGCTCACCAATACGGACCTTGCCATCAGCAGCACATGCCCCAGCTCCGAAACTGCATATGCAGAGGTGGGCCGGAAATTGGCAATGCTTGACGTGTGATTAAACCCTAAACGGGGTCTACGAGGCCCCAGCAACTGGCTCCTCCTGGTAAGGAATTCTAGCTGTGCGCAGTCGGAAATGAGCCCATAAGCAAAGAAAGAAAAACATTAGAGCTTGGATACTGCCCCCACTCAGTAGCAGTTGAGTAATAATTATATTCATAATATGCATGTATAAGTTGTATAATTCCCTTAACAGTAGCCCTAATTATGAATTATTGACTATGACTGTAAGTATGGGGGGGGCAGTATCCATTTTTTTAGAGCCCTGAAGCTCTCAGGCTGCTGCCTCTCCACGTGCACGGAGCTCAGGCAGTGTAGCTCACAGCCCACTGGGATTTTCCGAAAATTAGGGGATACCTTATTTTGGGATCCTTATAATGGGGTTCCTACTATTTAGGATACCATATTAGGGTCCCCTATTTTCGGAAACCCCCCAATCATCAGAGCACAGCCCATGGCCAAGTGACCGCGAATGATTCTGAGGAGATGCACGTTGCGTCTTTGGCTGAGCTTCGATATTGAATCATCTTCTTCTGTGCCCATGGCCATCTCAACTTTCATGGCCATCCCTTGAGGCGCTCGCTCAGTCCGCGTACCAAAGCCAGTCGAACAGAGAGCCCGAAGATGTCCAGGACTTTACCGGTGTCCTGTGGCGACCGCCGGTTGGCACAGTTGATTGATGCCTTTGCATCTCGGGCTCCCGGGTAGATGGCGGTTCCTAAAGTTCAGCCCTGGTGTTGAAAGACAGACCTATGGAACTCGTACTGCAGCTGTCGTACTGCATAGAGAATCGAGCTGCTGATGAAGGACTCCAGCTGCGATGACGGCACCCAAGGCAGCAGCACCTCAAGTCTTCCTTCTTAGCAGGCATTGACGTTGTGCTTCTTCCGAGGCAGCGGTGCCAAAGGTGGCAAGGTGCGAACAGCCACTGCTGTTGACACCCAGGATTGACAGGTTTGTGTTGCCTCTGAGCTTATGTTGGGATGTTCAGGACATGAGCTTGAGCGGGCTCACTGAGCGTAAGAGTCATTTAGCTGGATGCTTCCCTTTTTGGCCAGGCAAGAGAGTCCTCGGATGAAGTCGGGAAGCCTTCCATCCAGCGCAGTGCTGCTGGCGAAGTTCAGTCGGGGTGCGATTCGCAGGATGTCTCCAAGCACGTGGAGCATCACACGAAGAAAACTAGTTAACTAGTCCGAGTAACCGAGGTGGGCAGCAAGAGACCCAAGCTCTCTTGGTGCGTTGTCTACACATGTCTATAGACGCGATAACTCTGAAGACGTGGTTCCAACGCTCAACCAGCCCTCACAGGATGGTCTCGCGTTTCGTTATGTTACGTTAAGGTGCATCGGGTTCCCAAGAACTATAAAATTCACGGGCGGCGCGGAAGGTGTGCCCTGCGCGGCCAAAGAAGGGGGCAGCGAGGCCCGGCGCTTGGAAGTTCAATGTTTACCCATAGGCCCCTAAGTAGTTCCTATTTGGGATTACCTTTGCGGATTCTAAATATGAACCACAAAAAAAGGACTACTTATAGGGGCCTATGTTTAGCAAGTCCGAGGGTGTGGCGGGTGCGGACATCGAAATCGCTGAGTCGCTGGCCTGTCAACAGCCGGGAACAGAAAAAAATGTGCACACGACGGTACTGTACCGACTTCACAGCTTGTGTCGCTATCCTTTGATCACAGGCCGGAAAGCCCGGACCGCACGAAGGCCAGCTGCCGTCAAAGGGGCGATGTCGAAGGGATGGGAGATGGGAGCCCTTCATGTGATGCTCCTCAGCTTCCCTTAGAACTGGGTCCTCGTTGGATGCATTTTGCATCTGTGTTATAATAAAACACCTTCATGGACTAGCAATGATTATGTTCAATAATTATAGCCCAGTAGCCATGCTTCAGTATCTCCAGTGGAGTAGGGTCAAACGGGGCGCCATACCGAAGAAGAGTTTCATGTCCTAGGCAACGAAGCACCTGCTTTCAGGCGTCTCAGTCGTTCGTCCTCCGCTTGCTGGGCAGTTGTGTCCTCTAACCACGCAGAGAGAGACTGAATCGGCTAACTAGACCTGAAACCCTTGAGCCGTGGCGATCGTGTGGTGCCCAGACTTGTGTGAATCCTTACCTGCCTCTTGCAAATTGCAAGAGTCGAAGCGTCGAAACCCAATGATCGAGAAGTGTGACCCGTGAATCCGTACCTGCCCTGTGACAGTAAGTGTGTGTGTGTGTGTGTGTCTGTGTGTGTGTGTGAGTCGAAACCCAAAACCCAGTCTTTTTCTTGCGGTTTCCGACAGAATTGGCTTATGTTACATGTGTTTGGGAAGCTGTGGCGAAGGTCAGCAGCTGTTGACACAAGCCAAAACAAGACAACCCATGACCGGCTTCAGAAATTCGTGCTGGTTCTTCAAGAACCTTTGTGTTGCGGGCTGGGTGTCCACCCTCTGTCTTTATTGCTTCAAGGGTCCTCCCTGCCTGTCTATGCGTGTCTACAAGCTTCCTATTTAGATGCGTGTGAAGCCCACAGAGCGTGCAGGACTCTGACACACGAAAGGAGATAGACCGTCGCAGAAAGGATTTGCAACTCTAAACATTGACACCTAAAGACAGCTGGGCTTGAGAGTACAGCACCTGCCATGTAGAGTCTCGAGTGCCGCCTTCTGCTGACGTGCTGCGGGATGCTGCCAGCTGCAGCTGCCTGGTTGTTCCTGGCATTATGCGTGCTTGTCATGGAGTTACGAGCTCCCGGCAGCGAAGTAAGATTTCTCAAGTTGTGTGTTTATGTTTGGCCGAAGTTGACTTCTTCGGATAGCACTATTTCATGCGAATACCGCGTCAGAGGAAGGCCACTGGAAAAGCGCGGCTGGGTCACACTGGCAAGCTTGGCTTCTGCAACTTGGAAAAACCGCTGGTTGAGTTCAGGGGCAAAGCATATACATAATCTTTTTCCACCTGTAGGAGGGTCGCAGGGGTACAGTTCAAGACGTGGCAAGCTGGGCCTTGGGAGATTAAAAGTCATGCCAAGTCAGGGGCAGTGTTCACAAGCAATCGAGCCACGAAGCTTCGCAAAGTTTTTTTCCGCCGAAAGCACGGACGTCGCGCGAGTCGCTTGTTCTTTTCTTGAGGTATTCTTCGGATTCGACAACTTCTTTGTCGCCTATGCTGGAAACGTGTTCAAACCAGTCGAATACATGGCTGCAATGCTTCTTATGGTGGGCGTAATCAGCGCTCTGGGAAGCCTTTTGCTTGCGACCTTCTGCGAGAGCTTTAGGCGGGAACCCGAGCAAAGCAGTGTCACTTTGTCGGTGTTGTGTGCGTAAACGACCGTGTCAGGAAAGAAACCGCGAGCTGTTCGCAGCATGCTTCTGGGTTCTTGTTAGGGGGTTTTATTCAAGTTACCATAACAAAGAAACCATATAATTTGCCATAGATTTTGGTAGCTTAAAATAACATCCTCTCACAAGAGCCCAGGCTTCTCCTTTGAAGCTCTTCTGGTTTCTGTCCAGCGGGGCCTTCATCGCATTGGCCCAGACGTGCGGGTGCTTAAGCTTCTCCTTGGATGAGGTAAACTCGGGGCCACACCAAGCCGTTGTGGTTGCCAATGTGCCTCTCGTCGGCCTCTTTTTCTATGTGTATAGCGGAGAGACACCGGGCGCCAATTCCGGAGATTTTTTCAATCTTGTTCATGTCAAGTTTTGTCCTCTAACCATCTCTAACTTAGAACCATAGAGGTATCCGTTCGTAGCTTTGAGGGCCCGTCAGCTGCAATCCAGGACGTTGTCAAGACAGCAGCTGTGTGGATGTTTCCTGATCATGTCTGGGGTCCTGTACATGTCCGGCTTCTTTTCACTGTCGCGGTCGCGGACGGCAGGCGATGAGCCGGTTCAGTTTCGAGCCACAGACTGTTGGATGAGTTCTTGTTAAGGGATTTCAAATAATCTGCTATAATAAGGACACCATAGCATTCACTATCGATCCCTATGATGGTAACTAACTTAAATTAAATTCCTTACTAAGAACCCAGTTGAGGAGGGTTTCTAAGGTTGCCACCTTCTCGGTCATGACGCTTGTTGGCACCAAGGATCGTTCCTTTGGATTTGCACATCCTGCATGTTCTACGCTGCCTCCATCATCACCATCCGCCTAGCTGGCGAAGCCGATCTGCCATCCCGCCCAAAATCAGCAGCAATCGTGTTCTCGTCTGGCATCCTGGGTTCCTGCCACAGTTGCAAAGAGACATTGCATTCATGTGATGGGTCCGTACACGTCATGTGCTTCAAGCCTGCTTCGCGATTCCTACAGAACCGACAAATACTTGGCAAGCTCACTAAGAGGAGCATTGAATCTAATCTCTGCTCGCCGGCGACTTCACCGAATGTATGCGAACATGCCAACATCCAGAAAGCCGGAAACCCGACTGCAGAATCGGATGAATCAGGAAGCCAAGGCCTAGCAACCACGCTAAACGGGCAACAGCTCAGAGCTCTCGCGGATACAAGCTTGCCCTTTCTCGAGCTCTTCCATAAATAATGCCATTGAAAGTTATCATGCTTTTTTCGGCAGCGGTGGCCTTTGCCGAAGCACTGTTTGGCTCCCATGTTTTCCTGAAGGTTTCATGCTGCTCCGGCTGCTTCTCTCCGATGGCAGCTACACCTCTGTACTCAGTCCTGACAATCTGGTTTGGCCTACGCTCAACGCAGTGGCGTCGATGACCGGGCTTTTCACTGTTGTGGCGTCCTACGAGGTCCCAGACTCGAAAGCTGCTCTGGCGACTGCTGTTATCGACAGCAACTCTGTGCCAATGTGCGTCCTGCTCCTTGGCAGAAGGTAGAGCTGGAGCATGAAATTCGTGAGAGCCTGCGAGTGCAAGACAGAGAGGGTCAAAACAGAAGCAACAGCTCTATTATACAGGTGGTTATAGGTGCTTGAGTGCCGAATCGGAGTCCTGAAATTGGTCAAGCTTTTAACGCTTAATGAAGGCACACAAGCCCGGACCCAAGCCTGGCCTTACAAGGAACTTTGTCTTGCTCGGGGAGGTGCCGAAGATGTCCAAGACTGTTGGTCCCGGGACTGCAAATTTTTACTTAAAGGTTTAGGGGTTGCTGGCCGGCACCTCAGTCCGTGCTGAAAAAGGGGGCACATCCTTCTCGTTTTTAGAACAAGGATGCAGTTTGATGTGGAAGCGACCCTCATCGCTCCAGCCAGCATTTGCGTGAGTGGCCGAGCTTTTGCACACCCTGTCTTGGAGTTGACACCTGATCTGCTAGCTCCTAGGTGACCTAACGGCCCAACCATGCTAGAACATAGTTGCGGTTCTATGCCCCAAGCAGGTAGTGTGCAACATGTGAAGCAAGCATTCCAAGGTATGGCCATGGTTTTACTCGGTTGTTCTGTGGCATCTTTGAGATCAGAAGATGGAAGCTACAAGGTCTTGCCAGCTTACCCGGCGGAGCATGCGACGTGACAACAAAGAGATTTGCACGAAGCACTCCCCGCAGAAGCGTGGGTGGCAAGGATTGCCAGATGCTCCAAGAACTGGCACTAAGCCAGCCTGTACTGCAACATACTGCAACGCCGATTTTAAAGATGAGGACAGTCGCAGGACTTTGCTGATGAACGACCTTCCTTTGCGGGCAGTTTGCAAGAAGCCATTGCAAGAGTGTCCTAAACCTGCAGTGATGAGGTAGTGGGGCATAATGTCGATCATTGGGATTCAAAATCACATGCCTACTCGTTCTCACAAAAGTCCACAAAACCACACGAGTCACATGGGCAGCTCGCTGTCACAAGGTTGCTATCTCGAACTGTCATCCCTGAGACACGGCATGCAGTTGCAGCACGCATTGCAGCAGGTTGGCTCGAAGCTTCTGATTTAGCAATGCATCATGAATGATTTGATCGGAATGGCGCAGGATGCGATGCAGTCTCGTTCGAAAGTCATCTTTGGAATCGAATTCTGTCAAGCTGACCAGTTTGACCCCCAAGAAGTACACATACTGGATTTCGACCCTTGCCAGAAAGTCTCAGTGGCAAGAGGCTATTGCGCTGGCCAGCTACCTCCGTGTGGCCTCGATGACTCAGGTTTTGGACCTAAGAAGTTTCGGGGCAGAGCTGCTTGCTTGCAGCAGGGGGTCCCTGTGGACAGCCTCGTTAGTTCTCGTGGAGCAACTGCGAGCTGCCAGACTCCAAATGAATGCGGTGACTTGGAGCGCGGTCCTGACATCAATGGCATCAGCACGTCGCTGGCAGTCGGCATTTTCCCTCCTCCAGGAGGTCGAGGAGCAATCACCACATGATGCGACAATCGTACTGTACAACAACATGATCACAGCCATGGGGCCACGGTGGCTGCAAGCCTTCGAGATTTTGTGCAGAGCACGCAGGCGGCGCTTGCAGCCGACAGTTGTTACGCTGAACTCCTTGCTGGCTGCCTGCTCGCTCGGTGCTGAATGGTCGATGTGTCTTCGGTTGCTTGGTACCACGAGCTTTGGCAGCAGCGACTTGATGTCGCTGAACACTGCGATAGCAGCATGCCGAAATGCAGGACGCTGGGACATAGCTTGGCTGCTATTCACCAGGCAGGCTGGCTTGCAAAGGAAATCAACAAGGAAAGCAAACGCCAAGTCTATTGATGTTGTGACTTGTAACACGACTGCGAGCGCATGTGCCGATGGCCAACAGTGGCAGTTGGTCTTAGTACTGCACAAGCACATGGCCAACCGCTTCATCAAGCCCAATACGACAACTTTCAACACGATGATGGCATCCTGTGCCAAGGCGCGCCGGTGGCATTACGCAGTGGATTTTTACAGGCAGCTGCAAGAGAGCAGTTGCCGGAGCGACATCATCACTGTCGCCACACTCCTTGGGGCGGCAGAAGCATCCAGCCGCTGGCAGCTAGCTCTCAGGACCTATTTCCACTATCTCCTGTCAACAGTTCTCAAGCCGAATGTAGTTGCAAACAACTCCTTGCTTGCTGCCTGTGCTGCTGGCCAACAGTGGGAAGTGGCCATGCAGCTAGCTTGCGGCGAAGACCACCTTAGCCCACAAGACTTCCTAACACATTGCATCCTCGCTCTGATGCTTCGGCGTGGCAGCCATTGGAAGTTGATGCTCGCTCTTATGGCCCAAGAGAAAGTCGGCCAAGAATCTGCGCCTTTTTTCCAAACCCTGGCCTCATCCGTGTGTGAGCAGACCTGCCATAGCTGGACCTTTCTCCGACGGACTAGGTCGGATGCTGTCCTAACAACTTCACTTCTGAGATTAAGCCTTCCCTACCAGATCGCTTCGACGAAGATCGCCGCAAATGCTGGCACTTCCAAGCCCGGGAACCTTCGTGACATGTTCGTTTCAGTTGTGCAGCAAAGTACGTGGGCCGGCAAGGTATGGGACACATGTCCTGTTGATTTACTCGAGTTTGCCAGCCTGCCTTCTGCAGAGATGCGTGAGGCACTGTGTGCTGCAGATTTGGCTTTGGCGACGAAGCAAAAGTTGGAAGTGCACCACTCCGTGCAGACAAACTCATAACCTGAAGCATGGCCCCGCCCAAGGCCGCCCCGCACAAATCGAGAAGTGCATCAGAATACCCGAACCTCACCCTAAACCCTTGAAGCACGAAAACCCTAAAACTAAGCCCTAAACCCTAACCCCTCAGTTCGGATGTATTTCCCTGGTCAGCTGAGGCAAAATCCTGAAGCCCTAATCGCCTAACGCTGACAAGTTTCCTCCAATGGCTGCCCCTCCCTCTCCTCTCTCCTGTTTTGTAAGGCTCGCCGACCTCCTGGTGCCACCAAAGAGGCCGAAATTGTTTAGGGAATTTTGTTGCAACCTCGGCTCGCCTGCATTTGACGGGCGTCCTTTTTTAATTGGGGGATCCCGGGATCCCAATGCGGAGGCTTTGAGGATTGGGGCCAGAACCTATTTGGTTTTTCGTGTAGGGTTTCAGAAACGTAGAGGGGCAATTTGCTTCTGGAACTGTTAGTGGGCCTGGAGTTATATCAGCTTGCCATAGCCATAGCTTGCATCCAGCATGGTTCGGCATCTTTAAGTTGGGCCAATGGATCGTGCTCTTGCAGGATACGCGCTCCATGGCTTCTCCAGACACATGTACCAGGCCAGGGGCTGGTCACGTCGCATCGAGCTCGGAGTGGTACCTTAAGTTTATAGGTAGGTAGGGCCCTGATACATCAATCACCAGAGAGTTCTGTGGGGCCGCCGACATTTCTGGCGCTTTGCGGTTCAAGTCGACAAACACTGGCAGGACATCGCGGAAGTCGATCGACACCTGTGGGGAGGCTGCGACTACCGTGGGTCTGTAATATTGAGGCAGAGACTATCAGAGACTTGAAATGCCTCAGCTTGCGCACGGCTACAGCGACGGGCAACCACCACACGCAGCAAGAGCTTGATGAGGAAGCTGATGCTAGAACAAGTCTGAGCTGCATGCGTTTGTGTTACCTGCCCCCAGTCTTAGGTCGTTAAAAAATCACAGACTGTGGGTGTGCGGAGTTCGTGCAGCGGGCATGCGCAAGACAAGTTGAATGTCGGCTATTGGGATGCTGCGTCTCATGCTAAAAGAGTGCGGAAGATTCAGCAGCAGACATATAAAAAAAACACAAGCCGCAAAAGAATGGAGCGTCAACACAACATGTCGGATGGATGCTGTCCGGGGAAATGGCTGCGCAGGCACAATATAGAATTGTTGGAGTCGTGGCAGGAGAAGGCTACTCCAGGAGGCCCGTACTCCGCATCGGCATCAGTGGTTCAACTTGAGAATCAGGCAGATTCGGAAGAACGTGGAAGCAGAAAAGCTTGCAGTAAAACCCACACTTCTCCTTCTCCCGGGCTTATACATCAAAGCTAAAGGGGAAGACTGCACTGTCATTCGCAGATCTTGGCTTCCTCGTGAACCAGGCCTACTTAGGCCGGGCATGTGGAAGGTCGCGAGTTTCCGTTGGTTTAGCCAACTGCAACTGTCCTGGCAGGTTCCCAGCTTAGCCTGTCTTTGAGCATCTCGGTGGCACGATTTAGGAGCGGGTTTCCCCAAAACCACCACCGAGACGTCGCCGAGAAGTAGTCCCTGCTGCATCCTGTTGCAGGCAGCAACTCCCTGTTGGATCCTGGCGATAGCAAGCTGCCGCCGATGCCTTGACATAACCCATTAACATGCCGCTTTCGTTGCATCGTCTCTGGCTTGATTGTTCGTTTGTGGTGGCCGAGAGGTTGTCAGCAACAGGAGCTTCAGTGAATCGCGGCAAGTTGCATGTTGGGCATGCTCTTGAGCACTCACGAGACTCACGAGACAGTGGCTTGGAACACAAGGTTGCGGCCACTGGGTGGAGGCAGAGCTGGGTGGGCACTGGTCACCGGATGATTAGCTGCTCCATTGCCGGCCCGCAATCCTTCCTTCCTGTGATTAAAGGTACTCCCGCTCAAAGTTTGTGTTCTGCTCCAGATCCTTCGCAGCTTGCCAGGCTACAGCTTGACGGCCCCAAGCGGGCCAAGCAGGCACGCTGACTCAACTTACGAGTTCAACTCTTGAAGCAGTCGGCGACCTTTTTTGGGGGGAGTTGCTGGGCTGGGCGCAACGGAACACGAGTCCAATGTAACGAAGAGTGACACATGCCCCATGAATCCACCATCCTCAGCAAGTCGCCAAGCTTCGGGGCTCAGGACAGCACCATGCAACGCTGCCTCGGTCGGACTGTCAGCGCTGGAGCCAGGAATTAGGGTTTATTAGGGTTTTTTTGTGGGAAAAGTAGCTCCAGAGGATTAGTGGCAGGGCTGCGTATGTGGTGCCTGAATATATTCTCGGAGTTTTTGACACAGGTGGATGCCTTCATGGCTCTCCAACAAGGCCGGAGCATCCAACTGCTGCTTCCCTGGCATGGGCTAAACCCTAAACCCTTAAACCCTAAACCATAAACTTTGTCTTTTTGGTGCCAGGTAGAGCCAAGTCCATGCTCGCCGGAAGCTCGGGAAGGGATACCTTACTGTACGAGCGTGATGAGGAGCCCCTCTCGGTTCTTCCTAGAATTCTTTAAATTTATAGAGTTCTTAACTTAGTAAATATATGGATTCCAGCATCTTGTCGTGATAGACCCAGAGCAGGCCCCCTGAAGCGGTTCCCATACCTTGTACTTCAGTCTCCCCGATCAGCCCGCAGCAATGGAAGCAAGGTGCCGGCCGCGAAGCCAATGGTGCCTCAAGGTTCGAATACTGTCGTGCTCAGCTGTGTCGAGATTTTCCTTAAAAAAGGGGTCCTTGTAGAAGGATCCTTAAAGATCCCCTGGTATACAGAATTGAGAACTTCATTTCAGGGCCCCCATTTCGGCAAGGGTCTGGCCAGCTTGTACCTGCCAGGGGCGCCTGCTCGACAACACCCTTCGCATGTCCGTGCCTGAGGCATTTGCAGGTGTGCTCCAGCACTGAGGTGACGTAAGGACGGATGTGTTGACAGCTTGGCATCGACAGCTCTGGCACTCGGGAAACTGTATAGAAGCACTATCTACTCCAGCATGGTCATCGGTGTTTGCTGCATGCTCTCGCGGGTGATTGGGTGCGTGGATATGACCGTGTGGGTGTGTGTGGGTGTGGCGGTGTGCGCGTGCTTGCGCGCATGTGTATGATGACTGGCGCTGCTTGTCCCATCCGTTTCAATGAGAATCCTTTGTACTGCGGGGGGTTCCGAATTCAAGCTCTGAGTGCGGGCGCAGCTGATTAGTACTATACTACTCTTGGTATTATTGTTATGGTTTGCCCATAGGCTCCTAAGTAGTTCCTTTTTGTGGTTTATATCTAGAATCCTATAAGGTACTCCCAAAAAGGAACCACTAAGGAGCCTATGGGTGTTTACTATTCTTAGGAAACTGGCAGGTTCCACTCCGCAGTCCAGTGGCTTCTGGGCGTCCGCAATACGCAGGCTCTCTGCGCACAGCACCCCTCGCCTGGCCCACCTGGTTTAGGGCTTAGGGTTTATGGGGTTTAGGATATTTAGGGTTTAGCGTTCAGGGTTTAGGGTTTGGGGTTTAGGGATAATTCGGCGGATGCGAAAGCTGGCTCCGCAGTGAAGCTGCTAGGGCTGCTTGCTCCGACTCCGGGCGAAGTGGAAAGCCTGTTGTAAAAAGGGATATTTAGGGTTTAGGGTTTAGGCTGTAATGGCGGACTTTCAGAGACTGGGTTTCAAAAAAAGGCTGTAATCGCGACGGATGTTCCGGGCGAGAGAAGAAGCCTGCTGGGTTCTTCACTACATGTGGCAGAACCTTCCCGACGCTGGCTGCGAGCATTAGGACATTCGGCAAATAGTGGGTTTCCGGGTTGCCTGCTGCTTGGGAAGCTATTGTACATCTCCAGGATTCTCCAGGCTTCCTATCGATGATTTCCGTTCCCAGTTGGTTACTCGTACCTTAACTGACTAAGCCACATGGAGAGAAGCAGCGTACCATCTTGAGGGTCTCCAAAAAAGGGTCTCGGTATTATCTCTCCCAGGCAGTCTTAGGGAGACCCCTTAAAGGGGACCCTTCTGAACCCTACTTCTGGCTCTCCCTTATTGAGAGGGTCTATGTCCCCAGGGGTCCCCCAATCCTAACTCCCAATCTCTTCCCTCAAACAAGGCTAGGTTTGCGCTGGGGCGCAGGGTGATTCAAGCCGTTGATGCGGAGCCCTGGGCAGGATCCAGGTCATGGCAACCATGCACTGCGGCAGGAGGCAAGGCGAGCTTGGTTTTGGGGGATGTTTTGGGGGTTTAAGGGTTTCAGGGTAGGGTCGAGGGTTCAAAGATTATAGAGGTTTAGGCCTTTGGGCGGGGCGGACGGTAGTGGTATGGTTCTGGGCCTTGCGTGTTCGGAAACAGGCAGGCGGCATCTTGGGTTCCGAAGCTCTGAGCCACATTGTGGTGGGTTTGTGAGTGTTGAATAGACTCTGCTGCGGACTGCTGCTGGTGGCTCCTTGTCAGGATATGCAGTTCAACCTGGCCTGCACCGGATCGTTTGAATCTTGGGATTCCGTTCCACGTTTCATGAAAGTTTCAATCTGGCCAGAGGCTAGACAGTCAATGCACAATTATGCAAAACGACCCGGACATCGTCGTTCAGACGAACGCGAGATTCAACAAAAAGCTTCTGCTTTGCCGGCTGTGTTAGGACCTTGTGCGTCCATCAGGAGTTTGTGAGAAGCAACGGGAGCAGAAAGTTGTGCATTGCCGCTACATGCTTCCTGACGCAAATGCCGCAAAGGTGCTAATCCCATCCCTTGAGAGAATTGCAGTCTCCAGTAAATTGGATAGTACCTGTACCCATAGGCCCCTAAGTAGTTCCTTTTTGTGGTTTATGGTTGATATGTAGAATCCTATAAGGTAATCCTAAAAAGGAACTACTTAGGGGCCTAAGGGTGGAAGGTACAACAGAAACTCAGTACGGCCAGTACGTGCTCATGCTTGGACTTCCGGCTGCATTCATGTCACCAACGTATCATCAATAAAGTTTAGGACTTGCAGCGTCGTTGCTACGCCGCTCGAGAAAGCTTGAAGAATGCTCTGGCAGTTCGAAGCCTGTCTGCAGGCTTCAAGGGTTGTGGCTACCATTTCAGCATGCACCCGTCCGTATTTCCGCTTGGATTTTACATTGCAGCTGTATTTTGATTGTTCCACAGAAAGGAAAGCATGATGTCATGCATGCAGATGTTGCAAATAGCCATTGCCAATCAGCAGCGGGTTCCTCCACGTCGCTAGCTCCTGCCTGGGAACCTCTGCTTTGTCGTGAACTCAGCAGTGCTGTTGCCAGTCCGGTCAATCCCCTCTTACTGAAGTCTGTGTGCGAAACTGAGTGACAGCATGGTGGTCTTCGCGGCAGGGTGGTGTCCTTCAAGATCGTGCTGTAATTTTGACGGTTTGGTGTATTAGTTGGTTTCTTGCAGACATTTGCAGACGGCGGCTACCTGTTTTGGTCCCAAAGAGCTTGTTCTGAATCTCTCCCCCGGCCTCTCTCCTGCACTACGGTTCAAGTCAGGGAGGGCTTGGAAGGACCTCATGACCCGCATTGCATATGCCGGAAGAGCGCTTCACGTTTAGCTTCAAATGTATGATCATGGCCTCAATTTAAGAAACTCGAGTCCGGAAACTCAATTATCAACCCCCCTCCATCAAAGAAAGCAGACCCCGCAAACTCAATAATGGTCCGGTCCCTGCTTAGTCAAAATCCCTGAGTTTGTAGAGGTACATCCATCGCAATTCCGTCGCACAGCAAGCTTTTCTAACACCGTCCGGTTGCCAACTGTGGCAGATGCTTGAGCTCGCAAGCGCTGCATCCTCCAGGCTTGCTGGAAAATGTTGGTTCAGGGATCGCCCATGTCACCCTCGGCCGCCTTTCGCACTTTCGGGGTTGCTGTGCTCTCTCAGGACTGGTAGGAAGCCTGCGCGAAGCAAGGTCGGTGTCGGCCTCCCGTTCCAGATCGGAGACGGTTTCGAGCTTCGCAGAGCCCTGCACTTTTCGAGAGAAGTTCCTGTTGCTGGATCAAGACGAAGACGCAGAAGACGCGGCAGAGACATCTCGGAGATTTGCCCAGCATGCCCCTCGGCTGACGGCAAGGCTAACGCGACAGTCCAAGCTTTGCTGTATCCTTCGAAGTTCGAAGCTGTTGATGCAAGCCGAGGCACCGAAATTGAATGTCTCCTACTTTGATGCTTAGCTCACCTTAGCTTTACTGTTTTCTCCTTTTAGAGACTTTGCAACAAGACCAGCACACGGGTTTCTCTTGGAGGTGGGCCCTGTCATTCCGTCCTTGTGGTTTACAAACGTGCTCCTCCTTGGGTGCACGGTCAGCCTCTTTGCAGCGACCTTCACGTTCAGGCACGCACTTCTGGCAGCAGAATCCCTGGTTGTTCCAGACGTTCAAGTGCTTTCGCCCACTGTTCCTTGAGGTCCTGTGCTGATGGCAGCATATACCCAGTGCCGCCATACTGGATTTGGACCATTTGCTTGCCAGCCATACTTCATCAGATGCTGACAGATCCTTGCTTGCATCCAAGCATGCTTGCAGGCTTTGTATGCGCTTCTGTGTCCAGCGCGACTAGTAGCACAAAGTTGTGGCAGACTCGTCCGAAACGTCAGATCTCGGAGTGCAGTGGCCAAAGATTTATGGGCTCATGCTTCTCAATTCTAGGTCTCGCTTATGTGCTTTCTTCGGTCTGCAAATCCAAAGTTGTCCATGCCAGCAGGAGCGGAAGGCTCTGCATCTTGTGAAGCCATGCTACAAGAAGCACATGGAGATGCACTCTTTGGAGCCCTTTGAGCTGTTCGGCATGCCCGCGTCGGAGTTCTGGTGGACCGCAGCCCAGCGAATGACCCTTGTCCTGGGTTCTCTGGATCTTTTCACGGACACGTACTTTGCCGGAACAATGGGGCTTGGAGGCCGGAAGCTGTCAATCGTGATCGGCAGAACTTCGATCGCAGGTTGTCGAGCGCTTGCATGGTCGAACCCTAAGGCACAGCTTTGTGCTCCGAGGGCAAGACGCAAAGAGTCTGGAGGGCATGGTGGGATCACAGTATCTTCAGATCACTTCCAGTGATTCCGCTAGACATTCTGATCTCTGTGTCCTGGCTGCTCATGCTCCTTCAGCACGTCATTGCCTGCGCGCCTCGCCTTCTTTCAGAAGCCTTTTTCTGCGCGGACGTATGTCCAGGATCCGTGGCTAGGCGCTTCAGTTGGTGTGCACAGATCCCTAAACCCCGATCTAAACCGATTCAAATTCTAAATCTGGACCTGGCCTGGACCTGCATTGTAGAAATAGTCCTAGCTGATTTCCGAGTAGTTGAGGGCCAAAACATCGATCCTAACTGAGGTGGCTATGTTGCGAAGGGGCTCTGATGAGGAACGCGATGATGGCAAGTCGGCGCCGGTGCTGCCCTGCAGCGATGAGGAAAGAAGCATTTCCTCCTGAATAGTACTTGGGCGTAGTGAGCCCCAAAACCACCGAAGCGTGACATCGTGAGACCTGGACATGTTTCGCAAGCTATAGCAGCACAGGACCTTTATAGCAGCACAGGACCTTTGTCAAGAGCTGGAAGACAGGATTCTGCATGGCCCCAAGCCCGAAACTCCCCCAGATTCCCCAAGCCCTGGCCTGGGGGCGAGAACGAGTTGAGTACTCCTTCGACAACCCGAAAACGTGTCTTTCCCGGCTTAAAAGTCCTCTTTGTCGTGACTGGACCGGCGGTCTTCTGTGTTTTCTTCTTTCAGGCTTTCGGAAGTAAAGTGTGGATCCGATGCCAGGTGGATATTTAAGATGAAGCTCTGTGTTCAGGGTGCAAAGGCGCAAACTCCCAATCTGTGTCGCGCTCATCAACGGGATCACCGGCTGGTTGTTGTTGTTTTTTGTTTCCGGGCTCTTCTCTTATTCTGCTTCTCGAACGGGCTCGGGTGCTACATGATGCTACTGGACCCTGAAACCCTCAGCCCAACGTTCTATGTTTTGGATCCCGAACGCCCTCAACCTAAGCCCTGAGAAATACCTGTACAACGATGACGTGTTCTTCCAGCTCAGTGAAGCGGCCGGCTTCGCCTCCATCACGCAGATCTCGACCAAAATCTATGTCTGCCAGATGAGGCGGAAGGTCCTCCAGCAAGAAGGGTACAGGACCCGAGGGGAAAAAGAAAGCGAGAGACCACAGCCCTGTTGTGTTGACGTGTGTCTGTCGGTGCTGACACTCTAGCATGAAGAGCTCTGACCCAACAGTCCCAAACTGCTCTCTGAACCCTACCTAGACCCAGAACTTCTATAAACCCTATATAGAGCCTTCGACTTAAACCTCATAAACCCAGGATGATGGGATATGGCATGGCACTTTCCAGTAAGTACGTGAAGCGGGTCTGCCTTTCGTATCTGCTCGAGAGCCGCGGCTGCCACAAAGCATTTTCTCACGACAGAAGCCCTCCTAAGGATGCTGAAACTTCGACAACCCTAACAACACCCCGCCCTTCTTGTGGTCCAAGGCCCTATAAACCCTACAATCGCTTCGCCGATGCAGCTGAGGGACGGGATCCAGGTAACACTTCAATCGTGGACCTTGGCGATCAGCACACATCAGGTGCCCACAGGTTCATAGTATAGTGAACTGATTATGCTTGTGGTGTTGTAGTTTGTTTTTGTTGTTTCTCTGTTTTGCTTGTTCGCATCTTCGGATTTTGTTGACGACGAAATACCCCGAGGCGATGTTCTGCATAATGCCCCTTCATTATGCATGGCTGCAGAATTAAAACCTGCACGAATCTTTTGATTTTGTATAAGGCTATACAATTTTTGACTTTCAAGCTCCTCAGGATTGTATCGAACATGAACATACATAATCGATTTGTTCAAACATGCCACTTTCTTGATTGTGCCAGGCGCCTGAGCGGGCATTGCTCCCAACGCTGTCGTTGTGTGTCAGCTTTCTCATGGGTATGGTGAAGCTAAAGGAAATGATGCTTTATTTGGGCATTCGCCAGCTAATGGAGAACTTGGCGTCCAAAATAGAACGAGAAGAGCATGATGCCAAAGACAAGGATATAGAGTACTTTGAATCGAGTCTAGCAGCGGTTCGCCGACATGCAATTTGCGTGAAGATCTCCATGGTCTTGATGGCGTTGGCTTTGTTCACCCCCTGTTTCACACTCTATGCGGTCTTATCCTGTCCAGGCGGGATCAGATCCTTAGCAGGAGGATGCATAGACGTACCTGACTAGCAGCGACTAGCAGAAGGCAGCTGGCAAAGAAAGCGCGCTCGGAATACTCCGGAGCCGTGAGACCCTGCTGTCACGCGCCATGCTGCCATGCTTAGTCATAGTCTTGCTCAGCTGCTGCACACGCGCTTGTGCCAAGGACAGTCATCGACTCGTTTCAGTATTACGTTAGCTTGCTCAACGATCCGCTGGCGTGGCCCAGCGCTTATATAATCAAACGCCCTGAGCAAGCCTGAACCGTGATGCTGCATGCGAGGTTGATGCTCATTGAAGGTGCGGATCTTGGGCGAGGACAAAAAGGAATTCTGCACTGACTCCGGGCCAAGGCTGTTTGTCAGTTTCTGCATACTATAGGCACGGGATGATAGATTCGATCTGAGGCTCTGAAGGTGATGCGTTTTCCACCGAAATGCAAGGCTGAGTGTCCAGACATCCCAGCAAACACCTCACCTTTGATGTCACAGTCTTGTTTGTTTCTTACCCGCGGAGCCTCCAATGTATCTCCGATTCTTCCATGTGCAGCTCACATGGGCTCCACGACCAGGCGATTGTGCAGAGGAGCTGGCCCCAAACCACCGAGACAGCCATCATCCCACATGCAATGCCGGTCTCAAACCAGACATCTTCATGCACAAGTCGAATCACGTAAGATCAACCCACTCGTGCTCGACCCCTCCGGGATCCATCCAGCATGCCGGACGTTCTGACAGAGCCATGGCGAAATCACAGCCTTTCTGTGAATTTGTGCAGGCCGGGCGGCATGTAGATCGGTGCGCTCACTGCTATGGCGCTTGAAGGCCTGGTGGATCAAAATGCCACGTTCTCTCCTCCACCTCCTCCTCCTACCACTACTACCACTACTACCACTACTACCACTACTACCACTACTACTACTACTACTACTACTACTCCTCCTGCTGCTGCTACTATACTACTACTACTACTACTACTACTACGACTACTACTACTACTACGACCACCACCACCACCACCCACCACCACCACCACCCACCACCACCACCACCACCACCACCACCACAACGGTGGTGGTTTTGGTGGTGCCGGCGGTGGTCGTGGTGATGGTAGCAGTAGTAGTAGTAGTAGTAGTAGTAGTAGTAGCTGCTCT